AGGAGAAATATTTGGTTTCCTTAAAATAAATTTTCCATCTTTTTTCTCAGCCCATTCATTAGAAAATGCAGAACGAAAATATTGAGACCTGATACACAAAATATTTGAATGAGCATGAATTTCTTTAACGTTTGACTCCTCTCCAGCATAAATGATAACATCATATCCTAATTCTGTTTCAAAAAGTTTTTCATAATCACTTGATAATTCTGCCAAAAATTTTGAAGACGTCATTTTAAAATGTTTTAAGAAAAAAAAAAAAAAAAATATGAATTTATACTAGCTAGTTATGCATATTGTCGATCCATAATCAAAACCAATTCCCTTAAAAATTCTCATTTATTGAATTTTTGAAAATTTTCTTTATTGGAATTTTTAAATTTCTGTTCAAAATATTCAGATTAACTAAATCACACCTACTTATTAGATCAAATCAACTAATACATGTTTCTTCATTAGATATTTATAAAAATATAAAATATAATTATAACAATCACTATCCATTGACCTATGCGGACATCAATTTTGGATTTTACAGTTTCTAAAATTTTCTATATTTATATCCTAACTATTTATAAAAAAAAAAGATCTCAAATCCATAATTATGTATGTATGTATTGTATTTGTAAGATAAAAGTGAACAAGCGTATGAAATAATAAAAATAAAGAATTTTTATAAATAAAGATTCAAATTGTTATTGTTTGAATGTAAGCTAATGTATTATGTATATATTAATCTAAAAACTGCTAATACTCTTAATACATTTGATCTTTTTATACGTATATACAGTAAAAGAGTCTATACAAATTATGATAATAAGATATCTAAATAAATCGAGACAAATGTTGAACTTGTATAAAAAAAATTATAATCATAATTGATTGTAACTCATCATTCAAATTTATATTTTGAAAAAGTAATGACCTTTTATCGAATAATGTTACTTACCTATTCCTCTAAGACCTATAAAAAAAATAAATTAGAACTGATACTAAACATGTATATAGTGAATAGTAATAAGATATATGAATATCTCAAGATCCAAAATTCAAAAGAATATTTAGTTAGTTATTCTTAATGGTAGTTGTGTAAAGTGTTGTGAAATATATATTAATATATTATATGGATTGTGCCCATGCCAAATAAATAGTAGTTTATACTATTGACCCAGAAGTGGAAATAAACAAATTGAAGCTACCTGACGCACCAATATTAATCAAAATCTCGGACAAGTGTTTCATAAGAAAAATCGCCATATAATTTAGCAGGTCACGAAATCCAAATTCACTTATATACTAGGAATTATGATATTATGAATATAAAATATTTCCTGTGTAAGATCTCGATGAATTTGCATTACTATCATGAGACTCAATTATGTCATAAGCTATATTTTTATGCTTGATATGAGTTAATAGAAATGTAATTTTGTAAATAAATTTAAAACATGCATCTATCAAACGTTCAAACCAACTGAATTTCTATTAACATTTTCGCTTTTGAACATCACTTCATATGTTCCTGAATCCTGATCTTTCCAATTATTGCTCTTTAGGTTCTCAAATTATTCGTTTTGCATTAATTTTGAGAAATTCTCTGTAAAATACAATATTCAAAATATGATGTATTTATCTTCATGAAACCTGTAGTCCGTTAGATTGTCCTTCGTAGAAATGTATTTGTTAATACAAGAGCTATTTACTACTTGACCATAATTTTTCACACTTTATTCATTCTCAATTTTTTACGCCTCATCAAAGATTAGGAGGATATGGTCTCAATTCAAAAAATATATCTCTTAATACTCTTAATACATAATTAAATAAATATCATATTTAAGATAAAAGATAAATAAATTTTCTTTTTGTTTTAAAATTTACTCAATTTAAAATTGCATAATAAACTTTTCAAGATTATTATTATTGATTTACGTATATACAATAAAATTTTCGGATCCTTCAATTTTGATCATATATTATCTTCTCTATACGGATAATAGTATGAAATACCTTACATTACTTTAATTTACCATATTTACTATACAAAATTTTGCCTTTTGTAATTATTACCAGTCCTCGACAAGGTTCATTTAAACCAATCATAAATATTTCCTAGCATAAAGATAAAAAAAAGCTTATGTACGAACTATAATCTATATCCACCTTGATTTATTAAAATTTTTATTCCAAACTAATTTATTTCTGATATATAATTTGGCAATGATTTTTTTATTGCTATTTATTTTTTTTGAAAATACAGAAAAAAAATTATATGATCTACAATTTTAATTTGTCATTTTTCATTTTAACCATTTCGGGTTATATTTATTTTTTATGATGATCAGCTGCTGCTTACGAATTTTCTTTGTTACTAATTTTTGTATACAATAGTAGTACAAATAGTAATACAAATAAGGTAATACAAATTATTGAACTTCGTTCAATTCATAATTTTTTTCTTTTGCCCATAATAATTCTGAAATTTATTTTATATAACTAAAATTAAAATTATAATCCACAGCTCAATTAATATGGACGAAACCCCCAAAAAATTATGGAAGGGTACTGATACAAGCAAATATCAGGTAATAGCAATTAATATTTTTAACAATCATAATTATTTTATTGAATTTTTGTAGTTAAAAAAATTAATAATTTTTTGTCTATTAAAAGCTCCATGTTACAATTCCTACTATTGATTCAACTATTGAATCAGAAAATGTAGATGAAAGAGTAGTTTATATAGGAGATTTAGAAAAAGAAGTCAAGCGTATGGAATATGTGGAGAATGTAAAGAACCTGGCACAGGATGGAAATGGTGTCAATCTTGTAATGCTAAAAGATTTAAAGATAACTTTAAAAATTGGACTAGTGGAAATAAAGATATTGATAAATTTATACAGCAAACACAAATTAATGCTGTACATTGTAAAAAATATCTTGAATGGATACCTTTTGAAAAATTTCAAAATATCACTTATATTGCGGAAGGTGGCTTTGGTAAGATTTATTCAGCTGAATGGCCTGAAGGATATATCAGTTATTGGGATATTGAAAATCAAAGTTGGTGTAGATACACGACTAATAAATATGCATTGAAAAGTTTGAATAATTCTTCCGATATATGTCCAGATTTTTTAAATGAGGTAATTTAAACTTACTTTTTCTTATATATAAAGTTTGTTAATTGCATTTATTTATTAATAAAATCTTACCTTTTTAATGATATTAGATTAAATCTCATCTTCAGGTTTATCTTGTAGATATTGTTCCATGTTATGGAATTACTCAAGATCCAAATAATAAAGAGTATATGATGGTTATAAAATATTGTAATGATGGAAATTTGAGAAATTATTTAAATAAATCTAAAAATTATATAAATTATAATTCAAAAATTGATAAATTACAACAAATTGCGAGAGGACTTTTAGATATTCATAATGCTGAAAAAGTTCACAAAGATTTTCATTCAGGCAATATATTATTTTCAATTTCTCCATTTATAAGTGATTTAGGAATGTGTCAACCAGCAAATATAAAGCAAACAGTTAAAGAAGAAGGAATTTATGGAGTATTACCATATATGGCACCAGAAGTTTTACGTGGACAACAATATACAAAATCAGCAGATATTTACTCATTTGGAATAATAATGAACGAATTTCTTTCTGAAGAAATTCCTTTTAATGATATTCCTCATTATGAATTTTTAGCTATTAAAATATGTAAAGGACTTAGACCAACAATTTCTAAAGACATACCAAAGTTACTTGCAGATTTGATAATAAAATGTTGGGATGCTAAAATAAAAAATAGACCAACCACTAAAGAATTGTATCAACTATTAAAGAAATGGTATGTTGAGATTAAAGTTATTGAATATAGTGAAGATAGTAAAGATGGTGAAGATGGCAAAAATATTGAAAATGGTGACAATAATCAAAATAGTGAAATATATTTTCAATTAAAAGAATGTGATAAAATTAGAAAAGAAAAAATCAAAAACAGGTCAAATGAAGATAAATCCAAAAGCTTCCAAATGCATCCACAAGCAATTTATACTAGTAGACTTTTAAATTTCAAAAATCTTCCAAAACCAGTAAATTCTTTAGATTTATCATCTTTTCAATTCAATTCAGGTAATTAAATTTTAATTTTGTTTTATCATATAATCCATTTTACACTATTAATGTTATTTTTATTTTTAATAGACACTAGTTATATTGCTCAATCAACATCAGAAAATCAAAGTAAGAATTCCCTTTATTACCTTTATTAATTATTTTATTTAAATTTATTAACGTTTAAATACTATAAATATACAGTTTCAGAATGCTTAGATGTTCAATTAAGTGAATTAGGTAAGTTATTATTATTTGTAATTTTATTAGTATTCTATATTTTATTTATTTTTTTTTTTATAGAACTAAATGAAATTTGTCAAGATGATGAACATAATATTGAATGAAGTTTCTGTTTAAATATTTTACTTCTATTTTTCTTTCATTTATACTTTATAAATTTTTATAATATATAGTATATATAGGTAGATTTATTGGATTTTATATTTAAGAATATTCTATATAAATAAAAGATTTTAAATATAAAACTATAATACAGTAAGTATACTTACAACTGTAAATATTCCGCTCAATGTATCTTTGCTCAATGATAATTGTACAAATTCTTAGTGAAATTTCATTTGATTATATCATTTTATGCGTAATAAATGGTTTTGGTTAATACTTAAGGTAGTTTGATCAGGTCAACTATAATTCATTTTTTTTGAAATGCGATTAATCAAATGATATTCTATCAAATTATATAAACGTTAATAAGCAAACATGTTATTTTTTTTTTCACTCTTTGATTTCCGCAATTACCTAATTGATTTTTATTTCGTAATATAAATCCTAATATTTCACAATAAATTAAATAATTTACATTTATTTTATCAATGATTATTAAATATCAACTACCTCAATTCAAATCATTCCACCACATTTTGCTTTTGCATTAAACATATTAAGATAGATATCTAACTTTATTTTATTCATTCTCCTAAAAAAAAAATTTTTTTTTTTTGAACGATAGCCCTTTAGAAAATGGATATTCTTTAATCTGTAAATAACAACAAATAATATTATTTATGTATTAATACCATAATCATCATTATTAGTGAATAATTCTTTATCAGAGGAAAAGTATTATATATGTACAGTATATAAATATGTACAGTATATATAACAGCTAAATTCGGTGGATATGAAAATTAAGAACATTGCATTTGATTATTTTGGATACTGATTGCGATAGGAATTTTTGATATTATAAACATTATATATTAAAACAATCATTTTGTTATCTTTAAGATTTTGTTCACACAATTATTACAGTCACTCATATTTAATAGTAAGTGATCGTTTTTTTAACATTTGTAGTCGTATAATAATTGTGTTATTTGACGCATACTTCAAATTATAATATAGCAGAAAGTGGATGAAATTAATTTATATATTTTAAGTAAAACTATAGTATTTCAAAGAAAAACTAATTTTAATCAATAAATTGATCGATCGATGTTAGTAAATTCAGAATATTAAACCTAATGCTGGCCGAAATTAATCATAGTGCGGGCAAAGTTTACTACTCGTAATACAAATTTTTCCGAATCCTATGATTAAGAACATATATTTTAGATAAAGCAAGATCAATTCATAGAACGATCCTTTATACTTTGATTTATAGTAATTATTTATTATATGGCGAAATAAAATGATCCGTATTAATTAACTAAACGTCCTGTATCCCCGAAAAACTTTTATTAAATTAACCAATTTCGGCTGCTTTAAAATAAAAGGCTAAAAAATATTTATTTTAGTTTGTATTAATGGTTTTTATATTTTATATTATTTTTTTTATTCTTATTATATCCATATTTTGATGGATAGAAGTTTGTTCTTAAAGCTTTTCATGATTTATTTTTTGTAATTACAATCAGAACTTGATGTAATGTCTATGCAATACAATGGATTTCACGATAATGTCAACCTTACTTATTAAAAGAAATCTTTTGAAAATATAAATGTAGCGGATCTTTGTAGATAAAATCAATACAATCATAATCTTGTACTGATTTCTTGCAACCAGGAAGGAAGATTAAATACAGCAAGATCACCAGCGTAAATATACTTTAAAATAATGCTGAACCGCCGTTCTGATCAAAAGACTGGGTTTAAACTCTAGTTTTATCTGGGATAAAATTTGGAATAAACTTGTATTGATCCATTTCCCCCAGTTTTCCCCATATTTAACCCTGGTATTAATCCCTGTAAAAATAAAAATAAATACTGGATGAAAATTTCAAGATAATCAGTTTTCAAAACGCAAAACGCTTTTTTCAAACCTTGGTATGATATTGTGTCATCTATAAAGTGATAAGTATATAGAAAATAAGGGTTTATGTTGGTTATTCGTAGTAAACTTATGGTTTTGTAAGTAAAGAAGAGGGATATCACAGAAGTAAGCGTAATAAGTGGCGTGACGAGTTTTTAATGTGGTTAATTGCCGATTCGGATATGATCAGCAGAAATTTGATATAAGAATTTGGGGTAAAATTTCGCCGATCACTTATTGAACACTTCAATATGGCACAAAACGCTTAAATAGTAAGTTTACACAAACTATTTTTGTGCACACAAAAATCATACGATCTAATGCAAAAAAGGCCAGAGAATTCGAATAAGCCTTCGTAAAACAGTCTTTAGTTGTATTTTTAACGACTTTACTATGTACGAACGCTGGATTCCAAGAAAATTATGAAAATTATAAAATATGCATTTAGCAATTTTCCATAATAAAGTAATATAAATTTTGTTTATTTGAAAGGTTTAGACTCCTCAAAAAGTTACGACACCACAGTTTTTTTGTCAACATTGAGTTCTATTTTTCTTAGATTTAAGGATTTCGTGGTAAGTTTTTTGGTGATTACGATTTTTTTTTTTCTTTTTATTGATTTTATTTTTCATCATTAGAAACAGTTTATGTATTCGGAAGTCGGAAATATTTCTATTTAGTTGATTTATTTCATTGTAAATTTTTTTGTGGATCAATATTTAGAAACAGTTCGTCCTCGCGTTGTTTCTCTTTCTTTATGGATCCAAAGTAGAATTTGTTGATTTATCCTTGGATTTTGTGGTAAATATTATTCTAAGGTTCGAAGATGGGAAGGGTTTTCCTTTTTATTCTAGATTTTTTTTTATTTTGTCTCTTTTTATTGATTTTTTTATTTATCTTTTAGTAACAGTTCATCGCTCTCGTCTTTCTTATGAGTTGGAGAGGAAATTGATCTTTTTTGTCCTAGGATTTCACGGTAATTTTTATGAGATTCGGAAGTGGGATCTTTTTTTCTGGGTGTTGTTTCGATTTGTTTCTTTTTTTGATTTTTTTTTTTTATCTTTTAGGAACGATTTGCCTGGAATCCTTTAATTTCGGTGATTTTTTTAGAGGTTCTGAAGTGATCTTTTTTCTGATTTTATTTTTATTTTTTTTTATTGATTTTATTCTTTATCTTTTAGTCCTTTTGAATTTGTTGTGCAATTTGAGAATATTTCGCAATCTTATTTTTTTTTAAATTTAGATTATTGATTTAGGTTCGATTAGATTAGAATTTTTTTTTTTTTTACTATAGATTTATTATTATTATTTTCTTTCCACAATCATATATTGGATCGTGATACAAATTATATAGTAAATAAAACAAAAACAAAATTATCTAATTTTATTTGCATAATTGAATACAAACTTATTGCTCAGATGACTCCGCTTCCTCAAGAAGCCTTAGTGCCATGGTTTTCTTGAATGATCGTGACGTGCTTGTTATCCAATTCGCAATTGTGGAAACTTTTGGTACGTCATCTTTGGAAATTTCGTTATCAGTCACTCTTTTCAAAAGCTCCTCGTGCATTTCATTAGCATTCATTTTGAGCCTAGGATTAGCAGTACCAGAGTGAAACATTATAGTAAGCAATCCCTTGACATGTTCTGTGATTCGTTTAGTTGGTACTTTTTGATTCACTTTTAAATTTTCAGATAGTGCCCATCCACAACCAAATACAATGGCACTACAAACAAAAAATATGAATATATTCACGATAATTCAAATAACACTGACGATATAGAGGAGTACAACATACCTTTTTGATATTGGATCAATATCCATATCTTCGATTTGTTCTTCTTCAACCTGTTTAGTGTTTACAACTCTTTTATCAGGTATCCTGACGAAAAATAAACATTGATATGTTTCGTTTTACTTACTTCCTGAATTTCTTGATCTCCTTGGGTATTTTCTGAAAAGCATGATGTTTGTCAATACAAATTAATTACGGAACAATTTTGTTGAAAAAATTACCTTTTCTTGATGTCAATGGTACAGTCCATGATTTTGAAGGTTGTGTATGTGTTGTATAGATCGGAGTTGGTTTTCCAAAGGTGCGTGATTTTGTAATTTTATCAATTTGACAGTGGGAAATTTTATTCCAATTACCAAATTCTGGCAGCGCACGGGTACATATATATCCAGTGTTCTCTCCTGTTTCAGGCCAAGTAAACTCATGCCAATTTGATATACCATTTATCGTTCCTAATTTTCCTTTTTCTATTCAAAATATATTATCATTCATTTTCTCAACAAAAAAAAAACGAAACTAAATATTTACCTTTATCACGATCTGGTTCAAGATGAGATACATGAGTACCTGAAAGGTCTTTGATGGCATTTTCAATGTCTTCTCCTTCTTCTATTTCATGTCCTATTTTTACCCATCTTTTTATTGCGTGAGAAATCTAAAACAAATAATAATATGTATCAATTACTAATAATACAAAAAAATCAGGTATTTGTTCATACCTGAGCATGGTGAGAGTCTATTGCGGTTTTTGCTTCACCTGCTTCCAAAAATAACCATCTACGAGGACTTATATCATACCATTCCTTCCAATGGCCTATAATAATCATTAATTCTGTATTACGGTAATGTCCTCCATTGTCTGAAATAATAGTAACCCATTTTGGTTTTCGCTCCAAAGTTTCTATTACTGAATGTAATGAGGACGCCGTAAACCACCCATCCTGCCGAGTATCTCCAGACCAATGGTCAAAAGCTTGCACTTCCAGGTTATTATTTTCAAGATTTTTCGTATACACAAGAACAGAATGAAGCGTCCATCCTCTTTTTCCGAACCATTCATTTTTTGTTTCACGAGCTTTTTTGGGAAGAATTTTCATCTTATAATCTACAATTATTAAAGCTCCATCTGAATCAAGTTGAGAGAATTGAGCATTAAACTGTGCATTGAGGTAAGATTTGCGAGCATGATGTGCCATAAAAATAATCAACCGATTTTGATAGGCTGGTAACTTTTCTTGTTGTTCTTGTTCAAGGCTATTTTGTAAAGTATCAAAGAATGATAAAAGGGATTCACAGTTGTCACAAGTATCTGGATGGTCCAAATAACATTCACCAAATGCATGGGGTAGGCAATGACTGATACATTTACTATGTTTCGCACAACCTGATGAATCAATATTCAATTCTTTTGCAAAATCTCTACGCAAATAACGTCTCAAAACTTGTGCTTGTATTTTTAATTCTTTCTATTAAAAATTTAAATTAGAAGTATAAATACTAAAATAATTTATTCATTAATTAATAGGTAAATATATACCCGTAATTGAATATCAGAAACATAATTGTCAATCAAATCTTCAATCTCCACAAAAACTTCGTATCCACATTCATTACAGGTTGAGCATAGGCCTCCCAAATCCTCTTTATATTGATATCGATTTCCCTGGAGACGTGTCATAAATGAAGTTCTTCGCATACCATTAGGGAATGATTCTGAAAACTTCTTCCATAACAATGCTTTAGTATCTTGAAGGTACAGTACAGGCAATCCAGTTTCACTATCGGTCTTATAACTACTCATATTTACATTTTCTTTGTTTGAAAAAAAAACTTCAAATTGAACTAATGATTCCTCTGATAATTTAACTCGTTGAACAATAGGTTTGAATAGTGGTGGAGCACCATAGCCAATAAATCGTGCATGTTTACGGGCTTCAAGAATGGTATGTGCACTGACCTAAATTTAAATATTTAATATCTGATATTAGAATTTAAAATAAAGAATTAATTATTCATATAATTTGAAACTAATATCTTACTCCCAATTGTAATTCTAATTCAGCATATGTAAAATCATCAGCAATAATTGATAATATACGTCGCTTGCCATCTGGAGTCTTATTATTTATCATCATTGCACGTATAAAGCAATCCCAAAAAATTAGAGTTTGGTTTGGAATATGTCGGGGCTTGGTCTGGAGAAATCCTGATTTATATAACATGTATAATAAATTCTCATCTTTTTTGTAATCAATTGACCGCGTCCAAAATTGCCACTTAGAGTGATGATAGAATATTATTTTATTAGCTTATAATAAAAAAAATGGTGGTTATTTGCTATATCATAAATTTTCTTTGATGGGTCGGGTCATGAGAATCTAAATTTTTTTTTTTGCCCGTAATTTTTTTTTTTTTTTTTTTAAAAAAAAAAAATAATAATTGGTATAAATAATACTTCGAATATTTTTCTCTTTTTGGATACTACTATAACATATAAGATTTTTTATTACTTCGTAACGAAAATTTGATAAATTCTATTTATACTTTCTTTACATGATATTTTGCCATATCTTTTTACTAAATTAAATTATAATAATTACTATTGAAATATATTTCATACTAATAATTTTTAGTTACTCTATTTTCTACACATATTTTTACAAATTAAATTATACATAAAAATAAATTTTTACACATTACCATACCTCAGATTCATGAGATGACCAAGGCGTTATATTGTGACAACCTGCAGCACGTAATGTTGTTTTCCATGCTCTCAATTCTCGATCACTAAACTCATACTCACTTGGATAAAGTTTCTCAAGACTAGACGTAAATTCAATTATTGGATTTTCACTCTTAGCCCAAGATTCAAAGAATTGATACCATTTTACATTTGCAAGTGTTCGACGTTTAAGATTGTAATCAAATACAGATTTTAATAAAGGAAAATTGTGCCAATTATCTGGCGAGCATGTGGGTTTTGAATTCTCTTGAATAAATTTTCTTGTAAAGTAATTTTCAAGGCCAAAAAGTTGGATTCCTTTATATTGTTTTATAAACTTTGAAATTTCCCATACTTCATTTGGAGAATTGGCTACAAACCGGTTTTTAATTTTGTAATCTTGATAAATTTCAAGTGTACAATCTTCATCTTCAATTGTAGATACAAATATTGCCAGTTTATCATGATATTTATTGTTGAGTGAAGCTTTGTATCCTAACCCACCATTATTCCAATTTTCGCGTAATGAAGTGCCAATACTATAAACAAATATTAGATATTTTCCAAGAAGAAAAGAGAAAGGAAAAAAAGGAATATTTTGAGATAATTGTGAAATTATATCCTTATCATTCCATCCTATTACAAGTGGACCAGAAAAACGCGTTCTTTTTTGAAATATGCTAGCGTATAGATTCGAAACTGCAGCAGAAGAACTACTTTCTACACTGCTTGAAAAGACGCCTGAAGTACAAATAAACCCAGGAGCAAAAGAGTTTTCAGAATTTCCTAGTAAAATAGTGGTATAAAAGTCCATTTCATTTAGAACAGCTTTTGTGGTTTGACCAATACGAATCGGAAAATAATTTGAGATTTCATTTTCTTTATTGTCACTATTTTTTTGCCACCAAAGACGCGAATATGGCCCATAGTGCAAGTCTAATAGTATAGAACCTACTACTAACAAGGTAACAACAATTTCACGAGCTTTAGGCGCCATAAAAAAGAGACGACTTTGAGATTCAAAAACAATATATTTTTTATATGTTACTTATCCCCAATTTTTATAGTAAATAGCTATATGTGTCACTGCAGATCTTATCCGGACTAGCAATTAATCAGATCTAAACACGAATATGCCAAAGAATCGCTGACTTACACGTATTGAGATATAAGAAAGCTATGTTTGATCCATTAGACACACGAAACAAAAGAAATAATTTTTTTATACGCATATAAAAATATAGATCCTTTATTTTTTTATTTTATATTTTTACATTTTTTTTTTTTATATTTTTTTTAAATTTTTTTTTAATATATAAAAATGTTCTTATATATTACTCAAAAATTTATATAGATAAGATTTAAAATATACTATAACAATAAAAAAGAATGTTTCTTTCGATTTACAAAAAAAAATACAGGTATAAGTCAAGAATTGGTAGTACGTCATCTTGAATAGGTTAATAATTCCATAATTTACGAATAATCAAATTCTTAACAACACCTAATTTGGTATATGTTTCAATAATTTTCATATTTTCAACATTTTTATCTAAACTATTTTTACAAAATTCACTATCAATGATCACGAAAGAAAGTGGTTTTTGTGGTATACGTTTTTTCCAATCTATAAAAAAGGACTCTAATTCACTTGGAAGTAATTCAAATTTTAAGTCAAATTGGTATTGTAAAATTATTTCATAAATATTTTTTGAATATTTCAAAACCGTCTCCAATGCTTCCTTTTCGTTCAAAAATTTACCTCCGCACCAAAATTTAATACTTTCTAAGTATTGACAATTATTAAATAATATTTTTAACGTTTCCAAATCCTTATCACTAAATCCAGTAGAAAATTTTCTGATGTTTGGACAATATTTAGCGATAGTTAAATTCAAGGAATTAATACTTTCCTCACTATCACAATGATTAACATCTATGTGAATTTTTTTTAAATTTTTTCCGTTATTTTTTAAAAATTTTACTAAAAACTCCAATCTTGGACATGAACATTTAATTATTAAAATTTGTAATTGTGGGAAAATAGCATCTTGTAACTTTTCAAAACTCTCAATACATTCACTAAAATCAAATGATATTTCAAGTTCTTGTAAATTAATAAAATTTACTAGAAATGATAATGAAATATTATAATTCCCTCCAACAACAATAAATCTGGTTAAAGTTTTAGGAAGTTCCATCGTTAACAATGGAATTGAATTGATTTCATCTTTCGGTCCATCATGTATCATCATACTAAAACATTTTAAATTTTTCTGAATGGTAATTAAATCAACTAATTCCTTTGGAACATGACAAATAATTATTACATCTAAAAGGAATAAATTGTGACATGTTTGAGTCAAATTAATAAGTAGTTCAGGAGAAATATTTGAAATACATTTTAATTCTGTAAGATTTTTTAAGAAATTTCTTGGACTAGGATAAATATCATAAATTACATCAGAATATTGAACGTATTCTAAAACTTTTAAAGAGGTATGATTCATATACATTTTACATATTTCTTGTACAATTATTTGTGTATAATTGATAAGATCTTCAAGTAAAAGGTTATTTTGATTTTCAAGAAGGTGAAAAATTTTTTCATGAACTTTACTAATTGATAAAACTTTACAAAATATTGCATAATTGAAAATTGGATGTGACTCATGTGAGGTAGAAATAATAATTCCATTTTCTTTTAAAATTTTTTTAGACTCATCCGGAAGACAATTAATTAAAGTTCTATAATCTGAAGTACTATAATTATTACAATCTCTCCATAAAATTCCCACGGTAACTTTACACCAAAGTCGATTAACTGATAAACATGAATGTAAACTATATTTATCATCATTTAAATATTCAATAACTTCGTCAAGACAATCAGCGAGGAGTTGAGGCATTTTGTTAATATTATTGAAAAATTTAGGTTTAATTTTAAAAAATGAAAAGGTAAGAGTTTTGGAGTTTTTTTTTTCCTAAAAAAAAAAGTAAACCATTTGCTTTTACGTTCAATACTGTATTACAAACAAAAAAATCATATGGATCTTATTATTACTATTTGTGGTTACTTTATCATATCATGTGAAAAAAGTAAAGATCTTAAACTAATTAAGTTACTAATCAAGATTATTGTTGTGCCAATCAGAATTATGGACATTTTTGTATCACATTGCGACTTGCATAGGATCTGGATATCGAATCTGAGAAAAGAAAGGTAGAATAGTTAGAGGTTTTCACTAATTTGATGGAAACATTGATGATTTGTACGTCTTTAAAAGTCTTGATTCTTGAAGCTACACTTTAATTATTTCAAGTTGTAATTACAATTTCTTATAAAAATATCAAATATATATATCATAGTCGGTTAATATTTTTTTGTACATCTCCGCTCAAATTGCGAGGATGTAACACAATCTAACATAAAAATCATGTATACAGATTAATTTTATTTCTTACTTATGTGAAAATCTGACAGACATCAATAAGTTTTTTAAAGAATCAATTTTTACTTTATAAAAAAATGCATGATTAATTACATAGAGGAATATATTAATTGTGGAATTTAATTGATTTTTTGGAATCTTCTGTCTAATCCTTATTTTAGGCACATATTATATAATGTCAAATAACACAGATAATGAAAAGAAATTAGCAAAATAGCACGTAGAACAACGCCAACAGAAAGGCGCTAGCTTACTACTAATTGATAAGAGATAGATAAGTAAATCGATTCTATATCCTTGGTCAAAATGAGATCTTTATAACGGATTTGGTATGAAATCCCAAAGCTCATAATCCCGATGATTCAATATATCCCAACACCCAATCCTGAAAAATCAAAATACCAAAATATTATATAATCCTAAAACTAAAAATACCGACAGGGTCATATCCAGAATTTCATAATCCCAAAAAATCATAATCCCGAAATGTCAATTCCTTGGCACTTCATAATCAGAATTACAAAATCCCGAAAAGAATATTGTTATCATCAACTTTAGGATTTTAATTAAATCTTCATTCTTCAAAAATTTTACGCGAATGGTGAGTATAATTTTCTAATGGTCTAAATTCTTAGGAAGTCCTAGTAAATGATTTTTTTTGCATTAAAAAGTGAATAAAAAATGATGTTTAAAATAGGATCATTTTATAGAGTCGCTCACCAAATATATATAGTATCAATAATGTCATCCAGAATTCCAGATATACCTAAAAAAATGGATAGTATGTATGATTGTCTTATACTCTTAAATATTTAGTGACTTTAGTCTCCAATTATACAACCATAATAATTTTTTTTTTCCAACTTATTAAGAGATGATCTCTAAATTTTTTTTTAAAAAAAGTTTTATTGAGTAGAGAAATTGACTAAAACATGGTTAACCTTTAATTTTTATAAGCTCATTATGTTACTAAAAAGGCAATAAATTTTGCCTGAAAAATATGTTACTATATTATAATATTGAAATTATTATGCTTATAAAACTTTACAATCAAAATTGAATTTTTGAGTTATCCTTTACATTCGAAACTTCAAATTTGGCTCATTAAACATCAATTGCCAATAAAAAAAAAAGTATCCTAAGTAATAACTAAAATAAATAATATATTAAAAAAAAAAGAATGAAAGAAAGTTAATCCATTATTAAATATTTAATATTTTTTTATTGCCATTGAAATTTATTGATAACAGACAATCGTCATCACAAATATGGCAATTGAAATTTTATTTTACTATGAATTTAAATGTGTTTCCATCTTTTTGAATTCTATGATGATTTTGATAAAATTGGTTTTTTCCAAAAACATCAAAATTAAATTTAATTCTATTCTACAAAAGCTTAACCTTAACGTCATTTGTACCTTTGTAGTTTTTGCATCATATATGTACAATAAATAAAAGATCCAAGTTGCCGGTAATCTTGGATTATTTTGTTTATATTGTATGATCAGATGATCATTTTGTTTAACAATATCTTCCCTGAATTTTCACCCCACGTGACCTGCATAAAATGTCACCCCGTGTCACACCCCACCGTTTTCATTTTTTTCATAAGTATTCTGGGACTTAAAAATTTTGTGGTGAAAAAAGTTTTTTTCACGCCCCCTTAAACATCACCGGTTACGTGTGGGTGAAATTTTACTTAGAAATCTTGGGGCGATACTGGGTAAATGTTTAACAATGCAGGACTGACAGGTAGACAATATTATAATTTTGGTGGTTGCACAACTTATTTGTTTAACCGTCTATGGAAACTTTTTTTTTTTTTGTTAAATAGTCTTTTCTTTTACAAAATGTCCAATATTCGAAAAGAATTAATACAAGCAGCAATTAGTAGAGCATTTGCATTAATTGATTATAATGCACACAATGGCTTCCATGAAGGACATGAATTTATGCAACAAACAATTCTTACTGATAATTCTCTTACGGAAGAAGAAAAAACTGAAGCAATAAGATTAAATAATAAAAATTATGACCGAGAGAAAATTATTTATAATGATGGAAAAAGAAGAGTTTGTGAAAATTGTAACCAAAAATGTTTAGCTACATTATATTGTGAATATTGTGTTCGGAATCATTTAAAATCTAATTTTTCAAATTGGACTTCTGGAAATAATATTATTAATAATTTAATAAAAAATTGTCAAATGGAAACACTTACGCCAGATGATATTATTGAATGGATCCCATATAATAATTTAGATAATATTAAATATCTGACAAAAGGTGGATTCTCAGAGATTTATACAGCCGATTGGATTGATGGTAAATATGAAGAATGGGATTCTAAAGAGCAACAATTAATAAGATATGGAACTTATGCTGTAATACTTAAAGAATTAAAAAATGTTGAAAATGCAAGTCAAAGTTGGTTTGAAGAGGTTTGTAAGTTAAAAATATTTAAAGAACTTAAATTTAAAATTTAATTGTTAATAATAATATTTATTATTTTTAAAGGCTAAATCACATTTAACTTTAGGCAACAAACTTTCAGAGATTGTTCAATGTTTTGGTTTAACACAAAATCCATCAAATAGAAATTATTTACTTGTAATGAGAAAGTGTGAATTGAATTTAAGAGAATACTTACAACAAAATCATAATCAACTTACATGGAATGAAAGAATTGGAATTACTTTTTTAATTATTGATAACCTTTATTGGGTTCATAAAGAGAATTCAATTCATAGAGATTTGCATTCTGGAAATATATTATATTCACAGCTTAATGATATTTGGTATATTAGTGATCTTGGATTTTGTGGTCCTGCAGACAAACCATCAACAAGTATATATGGAAATCTTCCTTACATAGCTCCTGAAGTTATTAATGGAAAAGGGTATACTTTTAAATCTGATATTTATAGTATTGCAATGCTTATGTGGGAAATGTCATTTGGGCAACCTCCATTTATGAATTATGAACATGATTGTATTCTTGCAATTAATATCATTGATGGTATAAGACCAAAAATTATATCAGAAATTCCTTCTGAATATAAAAGTCTAATGGAACAATGTTGGGATGCTAATCCATTAAAAAGGCCCGATATTAATACACTTTGTAATAAGATGAATGAAATTAAGTCATATTATCGAAATAATCCAAATGAATTACCTCAATCAATAATAAAAGTAGATAAAAAAACAAGCAATATAATGAGTAGTAAAATATTTACAAGTAAAATTCATAATTTTGACAATCTACCTGAACCAAAAAATGCAACAGAAGGTATGCTTTTTAAATTTTAATGTTTATTAGTAACTATTTGATTTTTTTTTCTTTAACATTATTATTAACGATACCTTTGTTTTAAATTAAATAATAATAGAAGAACAAAAAGGTAATATAAAGTTAATAATGTTTTAGTATAAATCCTTTAATTAATAATCTTTTTTAAAAAAATAGCATTTTATATCACTAGATCATATGATTTTAGTATTTCTAGTAATGGTAAGTATTTATTAAAATAATATTGAATTTTATATAAATAAAATATCGTATGATTGATTTTCATTATATAATAGCTATTAATCTTAGTAAATCAAGTAATCAGTATACATCAATTAATTTTAAAGATAATTTATTTTTATATTAGAGTTTTATAATGAATAAATACTAATTTATATCTTGATTATAGATAATGATAGCAAAGAGTCATCCAGATTATTTAAAAAATTGAAAATGGAGAATGGTAAAGTCTTAATATTTAATTCTAATTTTCGTTGAATATAAGAATGAATATTTTATTAAATTTGATTTATTAAATAATAGACGACGTTCAAAAAGACTATGAGAGAGAAATAATGCAGCAACGATCAAATATTAGTATTAATGGTAAGTAAAATAAAATTATTTATAGTAATGGTCAGTATTATTATTCTAACTTATCATATTTTTATAGATGAAGTACAAAATAATCCAAATCTTCATTCAGAACAAAAGGATAAACAAGAAATTCCTGATGGTTTGTTTATAATTTAATATTTAATAATATTAAAATAATATAATATATTTATTCACTAATATATTTATTCTCTTTAGATGGATTTTAAATTAATTTACTTGAAAACAAATTCATTTTTTATACTACTTATTAATTTTATTTTAAAATTATTTAAACACTAAGATTAGAGTATTAAAAAGATTCTTAGTTTGTAATTTAAATAATTCGATTCTCTATTTTTTTTATAGGACTTTTCAATTATTAAATAAAGATAATTATAAAATATCATGTGTAAGCAAAGTAATTTTGTAACAACGCACTAGTAGTTTTTATTAAAAATTATTTATAAATCATTCATTTGATTATTATTTTAAATTGTATAAATTTTAATAATTATGTTATAAATTATCAGAATATCTAAATGATTATTATTCATTAAAAAGTGTTAAACCACATTTAAATGCAACATTTGATTAGATTACGTCCAGTTCTCATCCTTAATCAATATCCAACTGGTAACCAATTTCAAACAAATATATCCATTTTTAAGAATATTATTTGAATTTCAAAGTTGACGAAATGTGTATTGTCTAAGTTCATGGAAATATTGTCATCATAATGATGTTAAACTAAATTAATTAAATTTTCTATCAAGAAAAATTGATTTTATCTTATCATTTTATATCCGTATAACATAAATTTTTGTTTATCTCAAGGTAATCATTGATCCTGATGCGAAGCAACGGGCTTGTTGCTAGTTCAAATATTAGTTACATTAAAATTTATTCCCCTAAATCAGTTCATTTAAATTCAAGATCAAACTTGAAAGAATTTTTAAAATATTCTCAAATATTTTATTAAAATGCATCGGTTAATATAGATAGAGATGATGAAAATATATCATGACATTAAATTACATAATTTCGATATTATTTCTTGTGGCACAGACATTATTAAATCGACGACCGATAATATATAACTGATAAGGAAGGAACGATTTACGTATTATTTTAGTTCCTTGTTTTTGTTAAAAAATATAAATTATTTAAACCCAAAGTACATCTAAATTATGTTAATATTTTTGAAAAATTAGAACAAACATAAAGTTGTTAATATTCAATTTTTAAAAGCTGGTAGAATTCATTTTAGCGAAATAATTAGATGAGAAGTGTTTTTTTTTATTGCAAAAAATTGATATAACAAGTATTTTAATAGCAGAAAGTATATTATAGGGTAAATAATAGTAATTGCCCATTTTGATTTTTTTTTTTTGATTCTTTGTTACGAGTTCGCGATATTTTAAATCGATTAGCAACGTAGGACAAGTATAGTCACGTTTTTACCTTTTGTTCGCTCCTGATCACCTGATCACCAACAGAAACGTTGCACAACCCTACGCAGAACTCTCACGAAGTGAGGGTCCAAGCATTCCCACCAAAGAGAAGACCATAAAAAGAATGACTAACCCGCACTAAGGTTTTGTGTTATATGTCATGAGTGATTTTTTTTTACGGGAGTAATTTTTTCTCGCATTTTTATTCATATAATTCTATTTAACTTTTACATAGCAATTTTTGCGTAACCCTCCGAATTTAGTATTAGTAATCCATTAATGAATGAACGTTGATTTCTCTAATATCTTCTTCTAATTCCTTCTTATATTTCTCTACATACTGTATGTAATATAATGTTTTCTACTTCTATAATATTAATCTTATAATTATATATCTAACTATGCTTTAATAAAAGATAACACAATCATATATTTATTATCATATATTTCTCTCATTTATAAAATTAATAATAATGTTTATCAGCAAGGACCCGAAAATCAAAATATTTTATATAAATCTATTCATTTTTACATTTAGCGACTCAGCGACTGAATAATCTTGCAGATTTTACTCATTTTTAACAAATTGCTTGGCACTTCTTAGTATTCTTAAAAAGAAATATTAATACTTTTTTTTATTATTTTACAGTATGATTTGATAAATCCACTAGTATATAAAACTTTGATCACATGCATTAATAATTGCGTCACAGTAATTAATCAAAATTAGTGTATTAGTATACAATTTAAAAATTACAAAAGAAGCATTTTTGAAAAAAATTAAAAGTATTTTAAGAATATTTAAAAAAAAACTAGCCTTAATTAAATTTCTTTAAATATTTATCATCCTTTTTTAAATGTAGATCAAGTGGATCAATTCGACTAATTCGTGTTAACTAATAATGCAACTTTAGTTAGCGTATATTATTTGACGTGTTTACTTGTGAAAAAGAGATCATGAAATTTTTAATGTGTGAATCTTGTCTTTGAAATTCCATCATTTGAATCATATATGATATATCTACGCCGATTCCTGATTTTTCAAATTTTCGAAAGTTACATTATCTTTTTTATATAGATATATATATATTTATTTATACATGAATAATTAATTACTTAAAATTAGATGTGCAGCCTTAAACTTAAGCCATAGACGTAATTTGACGTAATTAAGTCATATGACTTAAAAAGGTTATAACCATAAGGGTAAGATAAAGCTGCACCTCTATATAGTTTTCGGTCTATACAGTATATAAATACAAGAACCGTACTTTGCAATTTTTTAATTTTGAACGATGATTACCACAATTATTTCATCTCTCAGAATCTCCGATATTTTTTCTATCTTAATAATTTATTTAATTATTTACATAACTCGTTTCTATTATCATTATTTTACTCGTCCTAATCCTTTACCAGGTCCATTTCCACTTCCAATCTTTGGTAACTCTTATCAACAAATTGGATATCAGATATGGATTTAATGATTGGTTATTATCATTACATAAAAAATATGGTGATATTTACGAAATAATCTTGGCAGGTCAACGTTCAATAATACTATGTAACCCAGATTTAACTGAAAAAATGAATATATCTTCAACAAAATCTAAATATCCTATTAGATTACCTAATAGTGAAGGATTCGTGGAATATGGATTTGATGGGGTAGGAGTAGCATTTAATAATGATCTTCAATCTTGGAAATATAATCGTCAATTTTTTAGTCAAGCAATGATGTCTCCAAGTTTTAATTATCAAGCTCTTAAATGGACTAATGAATTGTGGAATGAAATGGAATCTTATTGGAACAATCTTGGAGAAGATCATGAATTAGACCTTATAAAATGGTTGCGTAGATTTGCAAATGAAATGATTTTTAGGATTTCTACTGGAGTAAAAAATGATGCTATCGCTTCTTATTATAATATAATTATTCTTAATAATAATAATAATAATTCATTAAACGAGAAAGAAAATGTGAAATTAAAGGAATCTTATGATTTTGTGAATCAATTGAAACTTACATTGAAGGAATTATTTATTTTTTCGCTTTTAATAAATTCATCCGTAATAATATTCCATTTATTCGTGGAAAAGTTAAGAAATTATTAAAAAATAAAGATTATTTATTTAGTAAATTATACACTATTGTTAAAGAAAGAAGAATTGAGATTGAAAATTCACCATTAGATCAACCACTTCGTCATGATATGTTAACGTCGTTTATAACCGCGAATACACCACGTGATATTAACGTTGTGAAACAGGCTGATTCCGATTTATTAAGACCAATGACTGATAAAGAGATTTTTGGGAATATTCTAGACACGATGCTTGGAGGAACTGATACCGTATGTAAAAAATTTTTAATTTTATTTTAATTTAAAAATGTGTACTTTAAGAAAATTTTTTATTTTTTAAAATCATAGACGGCGAATTTGATTTGTTTTGTTGTATATTATCTTGAACATTATCCTGAGATAAAAAAACGATTGAGACATGAATTTGATACAGTTCTTGGAGAAGACTTAACAAGACCCATAACATACAAAGATCTTGACAAATTAGAATATTGCGATGCAATTATTAAAGAAGTATTCCGCTGTAGCCCTATCTTTATCATTAATGGACGTATAAATTCTCAAAGTGATAAAGTTGGAGGATACGATTGGCCCGAAGGAACTCAATTTCAGATGCTGTTTTCCGCAATAATAAAACATAAAGATTATTGGACTGAACATGAAAAATTTGATCCTGATAGATTTTACAGAGTTGAAGAAAGTGATAAATATTTACTTGAAAAGAAAAATATGAAAACCACTTTTCCAATGTTTGGAGGAGGAATTAGAATTTGTCCTAAAAGAATTATAGAATTAAAATGTTTATTATTCTTAATTTATAGAAAATATGATATTGAATTAGTTGATATGAATTCTCCATTAAAATATAAACGTGATTTTCTTAACCTTTGTAAAGAATTAATTGTAAAGATTAAGCCACGAAAATTTTAAAAAGTTGAATAGTTGGTATTATTAATATATTTATGTATTTAATTAAACCCATTTATTGTAACCAAATTAAAATATCTTAACATATACTAATATAATACTTGATTATTTATTTGTTGATAAATCAGTATATACAGTATAGAATCTTTCTTTAAATAATATAAAAATATAGAAATTTGATAATTAATAATTAATTACTTATTGCAAATTAAATTTAGACAGCCTAGAACCGGTTGACATCAAAAATACGTTGCGCAAGATCCGAAATATACAGCAGTCAAACACTCAAACCTCTATATAACGATACAGTGGTATATCAAAATATCGGTGTATGTAATTCTTTAGCAGATTATAATGCGAGCCAAATCTAGTTCTTGCCAGCATTATGATTAACTTTTCACGTCAACAAGTTTTAATTCTGTTAATGCACGATGACTTAATTGGTTTTTCTTATTCATTAATTTTTGTATAATAAAAAATATATTTTCCAAGAGAAATTATGAGAAAAAGATTTTTTTTCAGCCCGAGCGATTATATAACTTATGCATAAGCACATGTTCTATGTTATCGTTGGTTTGTAGTTTGCTTTGTGCTTCATTTTATTTTTTCTTTAAGAGTGACATATTTTTTTTGACTTAACAATCCAAATTTAATGATGAAGTTTTTATTAATCAAATCTCCTTTAATATTTATTCTTCTATTTACAAGAAAAATTGTACAGTAGCCAAAAGAATAGATCAAGTAAGATTATTAGAAAAAAAAATCAATAACGTAATTGAACAAATTTTGTAATAGGGATATAAAAATATCACTCACTATTACTGTATATTATTCATATGACCATGTCATAAAAGAATCATCTTACTTAAATAATAAATTAAACAAAACTTTGACTATAACATACTGTGGAATATAACGTACATTAAAATAATATATTTTCGGCTTGTCAGTTTAATTTGAAATCCTAAAGTAATTCTGAAATTTTACAAAGTTTTCTTTCTATTTATTGGCGTGTCCATAATGTCCATAATAAAGATGGTGCATTTGTTATTATATACTTAAATTCGTTATTAAAATGTAATAATGTTTCTGCGGTTAATCTCGAAGAGAGGAAGAATAAGTATAAATATAGATTTCAAAATAAATGATAAAAAATTATTTATTATTTTTTTTAAATTAGTAATCTAATCAAATTAATTAATTATTAAAATTACTGTAACTTTATCATTTGTAAATCAACTGATTTATATTTTATAATGTTAGTGTATAATATTAGAGTCTAATTCAAATGGACATCTGTCAGAAAGATTCGTATCGCATTTATTTTCAAAAATTATTCCGAAATATAATTAATTTTTGATTAATTTAAAAAAAAAGTATTAGGATTTTGGAAATTTGAACTATAGTTTAAAATTATACTGGCTTATAATGTTGATCATCACGTGAAAATATGAGAACCGATTTAAAGTTAGTGTCGGTAATGTTAACGCGTCACTGATCACGTGCAAGCACGAGTTAATTATCTGAGGGACTTGGACTTTTTTTAGTGGTCCCGATTTCCTATAATGACGTATTGAAAATTGGTTCAAATCAATGACAAAAAACAAAATTCAAAAAATAGAACATCGACTTATTATTATTTTTCATTAATGACGTCGAGTAATTCAACACATAGATCTTTAATGATTTTTCAATAGATTTGATTTTCATAATTTTCTTTACATTTTTCTTTTGATTTATTTTCTAATTTTCTCTTTTCCCACATTCCCGTTTGGTATCTTTTTTTGGAACTCGTTTTTTCTCTCTTTATGCGATTGCACCATTCACGTAGAATTGCATTATTTATAAACATTGAACGTTATTTTTGTAGCCTTACATTAGTTTTAAATCCTGTTTCATAACCGCTCTTAGTTTTCCGATAGTTTGTACTATTTTATGAGTTTTGGAAAAATTATTAAAAATGATTATTTTTATTTAAATATTAAAAAAGTTATGTATGATCTAGATTGATAAAAGATCCAAATCCAAATGTATTGTTTAAAGTTGAATTTCAATTATATTTGTTCGCCCCAAATATATTTTTTTTAACTAAATTTTTTCAGTTAAAAAGTGCCCAAGATTTAAAAAGATTTATTAATTAGATAAATATTATAAAAAAAAAACATAACGATAAATAAACAGATTTTTAACAAACTATTAAAATTTAAAAATATATTTTTATTTTATATTAAATTTTATACTTTCATATAAATATGTAATGTGGCGCCTTGAAATACCATTTTAATGCTTTCAAAGAGGTCTAAAAATACCTTAGTAATGCAATTGTACGTGATTTACCTCGTTATTCATTGTGATTTATGTGTGATTCAAGTGATTTAAGTGAGATTTTGAAGTTAAAGAGTAAAAAAAATACTGGCCTATTTTTCGACACTTTACAAAAAATCAAGTACGAGAGGCGATAATTTTTTCATAAATATGTTTTTTGTATTACATGTTCGATATTAATTTCAATCATTTTGAAAACGGCTATAATTGATCCAAGTAGATTTCTACTCTTTCATTCCTACTCGTACCGGAATTCTTGCATGTCCTTATTTTCTCCTAATTCACTTTTAGATATTTGTGCAATTTGACCCAGACCACTTGTTTACATTGAGATAATAATTGGTGCTGAGTTGTGTTTCATTTTTCGTTTTATGTATTTCTAGATTATTTACCATTATGCATCGAAGCATCTAGACCATCTGATTGTTGGCGTTGAATGATTTCATTTACCCAATTTTGGTTAATATGTTTTTTTGTTGCATGCTCAGCGAATCCTTAGTAACACCTGAAAAAATACCGCAATGGCTGGCGTTACGGTCAGGGATAGACCTAGTACAACATAATATAGAAATTGGCAGTGCAGATCATTTATAATTCTGCCCAAAATTGCGAAACTTTTTCTGGTGTTACTAGGGCAGTTTATTGAGTTCGTTATCGTGTACCCGTTTAACGTAATCACTTGTGAAAAGAGATCCCTAAATTCGTAATATTTTCTCTTTAAAATTCCACCACTAAACCACACACACCTACGGTAATACAGTCGGGGCAATTATTGAAATTGGGGGTTTGCGTTTAAACTCTAATCAATCAAATTGGTGTCGATCTCACCTTTTTGTTTGCGTAAATCAAAGAGACAATTGTGAGATATAAAATTTTATATCAAATTTCATAAAAAAAAATTTAAAATCCAATAAATAGTTTCTATTTCTTTCGTAATAATGTTTTAAACATTTTACAAAAAAAAAAAGAAATTATTTCATCAATCGATGAAAAGATATCACGATATAATGATCGACATGGACCAATCGAATTTAGGAAGGCACAAATTAATTTTGGTGATTACCATTACCGCATTTTGCATATTACCTAATTGTCCAATCGTGTAACATTTGTGATCACCAATAATTTCTAGTTTAACCCGCTAGAAAATCAATAAACAATTTTTATTCATGTCCAATTTAAAAAATCAAAGTTACATCGCAGTTACTTTTACTATCTTTACATGCAAACAATTAAACAACTAATTTAATAAATTAATTTTAATTTTGAACTTTATTTTTTTAACATAAATACAAGTACCGTACTTTTCCGTTTTTTTAACTTTTTAAATTAAGATAAAAAATTTATTTTTTTATTTTTGTTTTTATTTTATTTTTGTTTTTACTTTGTTTTTTTAATTTTTTTGTTTTTTTTTNTTTTTTTTTTTTTTTTTTTTTTTTTTTTTTTTTAAAAAAAAAAAAAAAATGATTACAACAATTTTTGAAATTTCCAATATTCTTTCTCTCTCATTGATTATTTCAATTACCTATGTAACCCATTTTTATTATCATTATTTTACTCGTCCTAATCCTTTACCAGGTCCATTCCCACTTCCAATCATTGGTAACGCACATCAACAAATTGGATATGCATTTAATGACTGGTTAATATCATTAAATAAAAAATATGGTGATATGTACGAAATACATTTGGCAGGTCAACGTTTAATAGTGTTATGTAAAACAGATCTAACTGAGAATATGAATATATCAGCCTCAACAAAAACTAAATATCTTAATAGATTTCATAATAATGAAGGATTCGTTGAATATGGATTTGATGGAGCAGGATTATCATTTAATAATGATTATAAATCTTGGAAATATAATCGTCAACTTTTAAGTCAAGCAATGTTAACTCCAAATTTTGATTATCAAGCTATCGAATGGACTAATAAATTATGGAATGAAATGGAATCTTATTGGAACAATCTTGGAGAAGATCATGAATTAGATCTTATAAAATGGATGCGTAGATTTACGAGTGAAATGATTTTTAGAATTTCTACTGGAGTAAAAATTGATATTGTCGCTTCTTATTATAATACAATAAATCTTAAAAATGATTCTTTAAATGAGAAAGAAAATGAAAAATTAAAAGAATCTCGTAATTTTATTGAATCTATTGAAATTTATATGGATGGATTTATGTATTTTTACACTTTTAATAAATTTATCCGTCAATATTTACCATTTATTCGTGGAAAAGTTAAGAAATATTTGAAAAATAGGGATTATTTATTTAATAGATTGTACACTATCATTAAAGACAGAAGGATTGAGATAGAAAATACACCATTAGATCAACCACTTCGTCACGATGTGTTGACGTCTTATATAACCGCGAATACATCACGAGATATCAACGATGTGAAACAGGATGACAACGTTGATTTATTAAGACCTATGACTGATAAAGATATTTGTATGATTATACTCGACGCAATTCTTGGAGCAACTGATACAGTAAGTAAAATATTTTGATATTATCGTTATTTTTATTTAAAAATATGTTCTCCAAAATAATTTTATTAAAAAAATCATAGACGGCGAACTTGTTTTGTTATGTTGCATATTATCTTGAACATTATCCTGAAGTGAAACAACGATTAAGACAAGAATTTGATAAAGTTGTTGGAAATGACTTAACAAGACCTATAACGTATAAAGATCTTGATGGATTGGAATATTGCGATGCAGTTATTAAAGAAGTGTATCGTCACTCTCCCATAGCATTTGTTCTTGGTCGTATAAGTGCTCAAAATGATAACGTTGGAGGATACGATTGGCCAGAAGGAACTACATTTCAAATTCTTGCTTCCGCAATAATGAAACATGAAGATTATTGGACTGAACCTGAAAAATTCGATCCTGATAGATTTTATAAAGTTGAAGAGGGTGATAAATATTTGCTTGAAAAGAAAAAAATAAAAAATACTTTTCAAATGTTTGGAGGTGGAGTTAGAATTTGTCCTGGAAAAAAATTGGCAATCATAAAATTAAAATGTTTATTAATTTTAACTTATAGAAAATATGATATTGAATTAGTTGATAAGAATTCTCCACTACAACATCAAGATGGTTTTATTAACGTTTGTAAAGAATTATTAGTTAAAATTAAGCCAAGAAAATTTTAATAAGTGAAATAAGAATTATATAAATATTTACGCATAATTATGTCTATTTATGATTAAAAATTAAAATCGGCTTTTATATTAAGTACGTTAAATAATATTTTCATAAATTAAATAATAAATAAAGCTTTGAAAAGTAGATTTTCAAATTTTTCAAATAATTTGGAAATTGTTCTTTTAATACGAATTATATTTATGATAAAGCAAATTTTATTTAAGAAATTTCTTAAATAGAAGGCACACTGTAGAATTTATTATTAAATCTTTAAATAATAATATTAGCTTAAAAATGGTTAAGCTTATTAATCAGTTTATCTATCCGATTAAAATAGTACCAGACCATGAAGTTTGTGATAATATTTATTATTTAATGCGCTAAATTCTGAACGGAATTAAGATCTAAAATTTGTGTAATAAATTAATTCTTTAATGCCTTATAAAAAATGTTGTTCCGTCGTGAGTCGTCGTCCGTGTTCTATATTTCCATGTTTTCCCGTGAATGTATCTTATAGTCTTAAATCATGGAAATTTTAATCTCTCTAACACGGATATCCGTGAATTTTACGAAAGCCACAGATAAATAATGGAAAATATTCGGATAAAAATTTTTTATAGGGATGGAGTTAAAGAAGGTTTTTGGGCTGGTTATAGGTTAATATGATGGATTAAATGGCTTTTCTTAGATACTCATTTTTGAGGTTTTTTTTGCCTTCAAAACTTCAAAAAAAAATTATTGTGGTGTTAAATTTATAATTCGAAATGAATTTTCAAAACTCCAGACTTTTCGAGTTTCGAATTGCGGTGATTTTCACTTTTATATGAAGGGACGCAAACCTATTATTGTAAAAAGACGTACGTTTTTTAAGATTAATGATCATAAGAATGTTGTTTGCTGCTTTAATTGTAGAGTTTAGCCGCCTAAAATAAGACTAGTAAGGGCACTCATCAATATTACCCATATTCAGCTAGGTAATAAAATTTGATTGACGCAAACGGATGTAATCGAGAAATTATTCGATCATTTAGCTGTGTGGTCGATCAAAAATCTGACGATCACGTGCAGACGTTTCATCGATCAAATTATTTGATCGATTGAAAATTATGTTTATTGGTTCGATTAATAACCATACACATAACCAATAAAACCAATAAAAAACAATATTAATAATGTAACGAATGTAACGACCATTTTCCGACGGATACAGTATATACATCACTTTATATCCCGGGGGTTTACGATAATATCCTGTTCCCCACGTGATAGTGGCGCAACAGCCTGATTTATTTGTACGTTATACGCAGTACAAATTGTTTTCTCTTCCTTTTCTCTTCTTTTCAGTTATTTTTAAAAATATTTTTAAAAGTTTAAAAAGAAATATTCTTAAACACTGACCTTAAATATAGATATTTTTTCACATTAAATCTTATAATAGACGCGTTTTTTGTACAGAAATCTATCAGTATTATTTTATTATTTTAACCAAAATAATATGGCTTTTATTAAATAAGTAAAGTTATTCAGCAGGTGTGGGAATTTTTAGACATTAAATTTATTGAATTAACTTGAGTATTATAAGTATTTTAGTTTAAAGTTTCTGTAAAAATTTTAAAAATAGATTTCAAGCTTTAGCAGTCTAAAATTAAAATTTCAGTAATTAAAAAAAAATGAATTTCTATTACGTTCTACGAACGCTTATATATCAAATACTAATCATTTAAATTTTTTTTTTTTTAAAAAAAAATTTAAAAATTATTTTAATCTATAATAATTCGTTCTTTATTCGCTAATTTCTATCCGCAGATCCACCATAGCTAGCAGACTCAGCCATATGCATTTTCACAGATTATTTGGGTTGTAAACCCTTTGACACAACATAGATAATCTATATAGTATCTCGGTATTCAGGAATATCCGGAAAATGGAAAATGATAAAATATGTTGTCTGGAATTTTTTCATGTCCAGAAGAAAAAAATTGGACATATATTGAATAAGATTTACTGGACAAATATAATCGGACGAAATTCCAGACACCAAAAACATATTTTGGACAAATAAAACTGAATATTAAATTCCAGACATTGGAAAAGAGACCAATTTTGGACGATAAAAATAAAAAAATGTAAAATACACAAAACTATCTAAACTTCCCTCTAAGTAAAGTTAAAGAGCAAGTATCTATGACGTTAACTGCTATAAATGATTGTATATTGTGTACATTGAATACAATATGTTTAACGCTTTATAAATTAATGTTCATTGGTGAATGATCTTTTCAATCTTAGTTACACTGAATTCGTTTAGTTTGTGCAAAATCATCGACTTGTGAAACAAAAAAAAATACGTGAACTTTATCCTTTGGAATTCCATTATCGAATGGTAATAGCCAATCATGTATATCGTCTGACGATCACAAATAACTTAGGGTTAGTGACATTTATTACGTAACCAGTCTTAACCCCACATAATACATAAAATCTTATGTTACACCATATATATTAAGACCTTCACCCCCTAAAATATTATGTCATTGCCCTTAATTTTCTGTCAGTTTAGGTCGCAGAAATATAACAATCAAATTTATCTACGCCAAGTACGGCATTTTTTTTATATGCAAACATTAATTAATCACTTAAGCGTCTAAGTCGTTATAAAAAATAGTAACTAAAATTTATATTTTGTAAAAATTATTACTATGTATGGGGACCCTACAGGAAAGCAGGGGCTCAGAAAATCAAGGTTTAAATTACGTAATCGATTGTACGATCATCTTTACGAAAATGGATTTTCTCAATAACTTCTTAGGACGAAATTTTACAAGCATTTAATTGAAAACTTATGCCGTGTTTTTAATTAAAATCATGGAATTTATATATTAGATATTTTTAATGAGGTTATTGTGATATCTAGTAAAAAAAAAACACCGAAAAACTATTTAAATTACACCAATATATTATAGATAGGGATGGCACGTGATTTAAAACAAGATGTTTTAAAACAATTTAAATCCAGTTTTTATTGTTTTAAAACGTTTTTTTTTTGTTTTAAAATATTGGTCGGCATGATTATTGCGTAATTATTTTTTAATGACCTTTTTTGTATTTTGTGTAATTATTGTGGAAATGACATTAGTTATTGATTTAATTGATCGATTAGAAGATTTAAAATTAGTATATTATATAATTTTTTTTTTTCACATTTTATTTAACGATCACTAAGCTATATTCCCAAACAAGGTCGGTCCGGCTATACTCTAAATATATATTATATAATAAAGTGCTTAAATTTTTATTGCAAATATATTACGTCGTAAAGGCTAGTAAAGTGCTAAAATTGTTTTAAACATGTTTTTTGCCATCCCTAATTATAGATAGATAAAAATCTATTTTCTGAAAATGGTTAGACTTATAAGCACATTTCCATTACAAAATCTCAAAATCATGTGATTATGGATGATTTGTACTAAAATTATACTCTTGAAAATAATAATATTAATCCATTAAATGATTTTGTTGGGTCAATTGAATTTTATATGGAAGGAGTTATTTGTTTCTTCACTTATAATAAGTTCATGCGCCATTATTCTCCATTTGTTCGTGGAAAGGTAAAGAAATTTTTGAAAAATAAAGATTATTTATTTGGTAGTAGATTATACGCCATTATTAAAGAAAGAAGGATTGAGATTGAAAATACACCATTAGAACATCATGATATGTTGACGTCTTTTATAACCGCGAGTACACTACGCGATATCAACGATGTGAAAAGTGCCGACGCTGATTTATTAAGACCCATGACTGATAAAGAGATTTTTGGGAATATACTCGACGCAATATCTGCAGGAACTGATAGCGTAAATAAAATTTTTTAATATTATTCATTCCAACATTTGTGTTCCAAAAGCTTCAATAATAATTTATTAAAAAATTTTGTAGACGTCGAATTTATTTTGCTTTATTATGTATCATCTTGAACATAATCCTGAAGTGAAATAACGACTGAGACAAGAATTTGATACGACTCTTGGAAATGACTTAACAAGACCAATAACATATAAAGATCTTTGTGAATTAGAATATTGCGAAGCAGTTATTAAAGAAGTATATTGTCACTCTCCTACAGCATTTTTTCTTGATCGTATGAATGTTCAAAGTGATAACGTTGGAGGATACAATTGGCCAGAAGGAACTCAATTTCAGATGCTTATTTCAGCGCTATTGAAACATAAAGATTATTGTAATGAACCTGAAAAATTCGATCCCTGATAGATTTTATAAAGTTGAAGAAAGTGCATAAATATTTACTTGAAAAGATGAAAATACCAAATACTTTTCTAATTTTAATTTATAGAAATATGGTATTGAATTAGTTGATATGAATTCTCCACTACAATATAAACAGGAACATCTTAACCTTTGTAAAGTATTAATAATTAAGGTTAAGCCAAGAAATTTTAAAAAGAATAAGAATTATATAAATCTGGGCGTCTAGAGCGGAGCAGTTTTGGGCAGCATTACAGCATTAAGAAACTATGCATGTGACGCCGGCGATATTTACTACGGTCACGTGATTATTTACTGCTTTATTTATTTATTTATTAATAAATCGACGGGCAGGGCGACTTTTTTCGGGAGATTGGGCACTTTCATGATTTTGGTTGATTAGACTTGTAGTTTATGCTCACTCATGTATTTGTTAGGCTCCAGTCGTGTCTATATTTTAAAAATAAAAATAAAATAATTTTATATATCATAAAGACCCGAAAAATAAAATTTCAAATAATTCGGAATTATAGCTTTATCGCTTCAATTAGTCAATTATGATTCAAAAGAATTATATTTTGATGAAACAAATTTTATTTAAGAAATTGCTTAATTTTGAACGGAATTAAGATTTAATAGCCTTTCTCGTTTGAACGCAAACGAAAATAGGTCAAGCCTAGACCGAAACGGTAGAAAGGAAAACATTTATTATTAACTTTTTTAACCTTCAAAACTTCAAAAAGAAATTATTGTGGTGTTACATTTTTATTCGATTGTATTGGTCAACTTTGCTAATCTAAAAATTTAATTTATAAATTTCAATCAGTAAGTTCATTCCGAATTATCATATAATAAATTAAGTCTGTTTAAATTAAATTGTAAAGTATAAGCTGTAAATGAACAATTTAAGCATTATTACTTCAAGTTCTTTTTGATGTTGAATATTTTATTTTTACAATACAAATTTCTAGACTTTCGAATTCATTATTCATTTATTAAGTAGTCAAACATTATTGTAAAAAGACGTACGTTTTTTTTTAAATGATCATAAGAAGGTCGTAAAATTGCAAAGTTTAATTAAAGCTGCAATCGACGATCATGCAGGTGCGTGGTCGATCAAAAATCTTAGCATTTACACTTCAATAGGCCTGTTCAATTCTGATCGTTCGTTGATAATTATTGGCTGATGAAATTGTGTGACCTGATCAACAACCCGAACTTTCCGAACAACAAAAAATGTGGTGTCATTTTGATCGCTTTTTTTTAACGTGTCTGGTGCTTAGTAAAGTTTTAATATACGCCCTCAAAAAGTTTACTATACCTTTATGGTATTGCTTATTTGCCATTTTTAAAAAAGAAAAATATTTTATTATACGAGAAATAAGGTGACCAAGGTTAACCGTTCAATAAGCCGTTCAATAAGCCCTCAATTTTGATTTTGATCACATGTTAAGATTGGTTAATCGATTTTCGATCAAAAAACCCGAACGATCATAATTGAACATGCCTAATAAGACCACGTGAATGGCGAGATCTGTTTACATTTATCTCAGCAATTTGAGTCCCTGTAAGCAGTGATATGCATAAGCACTTTTGGACTTCCAATTCTTCCAATTCCAATAATACTTCCAATGTTAAACAAAGATTGAATTCTATAAAACTTGCATATATCTCATTTTTAGTGTATTTTTTTTTACTACATTATGTACTAATTTAATTATTTATAGTCTAAAGTATTTTTCGAGTTATTTATGCGCCACATTCCATGATCGTGGGTCGATCAAATTACCGAATTTGATTGATCAAAAATTATGTTTATTGATTCGATTAAAAACCAAAATTAATAATGTAACGACCATGCATTTCCGGCAATCAAATATATGTGAAATCTATCACGGGCTTGTGTGTCAACTTATCTTGTAATTTATCACATTACTTATTATTCGTATGAACATCAATTTATTACTTCTGTATTATTTGGTGTATTTCACATTTTTTTTTTTAGTCATTTCCATTTCTCCTTTTCCTTAAAACTTTTTTTTTCTTTCCCTGTTCTTAGAAATAGTTTCATTTTTATTAACCTTTTTTTTAGGTATTTCATGTCATAGTATTTGTCATGAACTTCTTTTAATTATTCCTCTTTTATTTATTTATACAATAATGAAAGGGCCTTTTTAAGGCTTTTTTTTTTTTGAAACAGTTTATAAACTGAGGTAAGTCTTTCTTATTAATTTATTGTTTTTCTATTGCCTTTTTCTGTTGTTGAAATTTATTAATTGTTTCCAGGAGTCCATTTCGTCTCCAGGTGGTGTTCATATAAGAACCATCGAAAGAACATTAGGAAACGTTCTTAAACAAAATAAACACTTACCTTCGTTCTAGAAGCCTATTTCGACTCCAGGGAGCGTTCCTACAAAAAAAAAAGATCAAAAGTATGTTTAAAATGTTCTTAAACAAAAGGAAACAAAAAGAAGCACTTACCCTGAAATCCATTTCGTCTCCAGGGGGCGCTCCTATAAAAAAAGTTATTGAAAGAACGTTAGAAACGTTCTTAAATGAAAATTAACAAAAGAAATGACTCAAACGAGGCGTTCCTAAAAAAAAAATTATTGAAAAGAACGTTAGGAACGTTCTTTAAACGAAATTAACACAAAAAAATGAAAAAGAATTTTACTTTTAGTCTTAAAGAGTGGAGCGCTCCTATAAAAAAAAAATATTGAAAGAACGTTAGGAGACGTTCTTGAACGAAATGAACGGGAAAAAAAATGAAAAAAACACTTACCTTTATGTCTAGGAGATTATTTCGTCTTCAGGGTATTCCTACAAATAAGGGTAATTAAAAGAACGTTATAAAACGAAGTAAAAATAAAAAATAAAAATAAAAAATAGATCGATTATCTAAATTACACAACCAATAAAATTATAAAATTTTAAAATCACTTCACGTGATAGGGTGCGTTCGAACGCAGGTGCTTTAAACCCATTTAAAAAATAGCTTTTGCGATCATTATCGTCGGTCATCCTATCACATATGAAATAAATATTGTCAGAAAAAATTTTTTGATCAAACCCTTTTAATATACAGTACTAAAGAAGAATGTACCACTTTAGTTTTTTTCAATATCGAATATGTTATTTATTGATAAATATATAATATTTACATATAAATATTAAAAAAAAAATTTTTATGCATAATTTATTTAAGGCCGGGCAAAGTTAATTTTTAGATTCTCGTGACATAAAATTTTAAAATTGACCGGTTTTTTTTTTTTTTTTTTTTTTTTTATGTATTATATTTTGTACAAATATATCTTGTATTACACAAACAAAGATAAATTGTTAAATCTATGTAAATCTATCTTCTGCCACTTTTTATTAAATAAAATCCGATATGCCGATAATAATTGTACATGTTTTGCTTTGTTCTAAAACAGTATTTGAGTGGGAGGGGCTTCCTGTTGATGAGGATATGAACTGTCTCTTATACACATCTAGATGTGTATAAGAGACAGGGATATGAATATAAAAGATTTTTTAATGATGTAGTAGTTAATGAATTAAAGATAGAATTATGGGGAAAAAATTGTATTGCATATTTTAGTCCTACAAAAACGGGTGAAATAGAAAAATAGGACTGAGTAACTAATGCATGGGAAACTGTTAAACAGTGCGGATAATATGTAACATTTAAATTACTTGATGACTCTAATAATGAGCCAGCTATGAATACAATCAATGCATTTGAATTAATGAAATCTGCTTCAATGCTTAACTACCTTCCAGAATTTAAATTACCAGCAAAAATTCTTTGGATCAACTATGCATAGATGGAGGTGGCTGGATAGGAAAAGATAATGCAAATAATAATATTAGAAAAAGATTTGTTTCTAATTTAACAAAATCTACGTATATGTTGATATTTGTTCTTATAAAACATTAGATGATAGATACAAAATTCCGGATTTATTTACTAGGTTTTTTGATCAAGCCCATCCTGAAAGATACAAAAAATCAAGATGATCATTTAATTCAGAAGAATTACAAAGTTATTATAAAATTCCGATAAATTACATTGAATTACCATGGATGGAAAAACCCAAATTTGCTTGGCTTAAAGAACCTATGCTGCTTTATGCAACAAATCTTCTGAATACTTTATTAATCAAAGAGCTATAACTGCAGATAATCAAAATTCGTTAACTCCTATAGTTGATGAAGGAAAAGCAGGATATATAGGAAATATATGGAGGAAAACTGTAATTATTAAAGAGTTTCGCATTCTTATAAAAGCTTTAGAGAAATTGGAATATTGGAAACTTGTTGATATAAACCAATTCTGTCCAGTATCACGAAAATAAGATTTTATATTTACGAAAATAATATGTAACACGTTTATTGAATTTTATATAATAAAGTATATGCAATTTTATTATGTTAAGTCACGTGATAAAAAATTTTACTATAAAAAAAAAATCCCTGAATTTTTGTAAAACTGACACGGCCGGGTCACGAGAATCTAAAAATTAATTTTGCCCGGCCTAAATTGTCTTTTTTTAAATTATCTACTGATAATTTTTCAATTTTTTTTTTTTTTTATTATAAGTTTATTGTGATTTAATAAAAAATATGTCCAAGAAATTTTTTATATGCAAATATCAAAAATTATTTTTTCAGTTTATAAGAATCGAAAAAAAGAAGCCCATTATTCTTTAGCTTCGGTGATGATCTGTTGTGGCTGATCACCTTAACAGTTAAGACAATTAAGCTTTTTTATTAAATTTCATTAACCGGAATCAGGATGTACACATGTCCCAAATTATACTAACTATAATAAATAACCAGGTGCAGACATGTTTTCTTTAAAATTGTTAATTTGGACAACTTTGTCTTGTTTATATTATAATAAAATATTTTTAGATGCACAGAAAAATTTTTCTATCTACAGAAAAAACAATAATCATATGTTAAATCATTGATAATACAATATTCAAACAATATTCTTAAAATAAAAGAGATTTTAAATCATATGTTAAAAGAAAAAATTAGGAAAGGTATTTCTTTTTTTAGTTAAAAAAGAAAAATTTATCGTATGATGATCTCGTTATCAGCAAAATTAAAAAATTTAAAAAAAAACCATAAATTAATGCACAATAAAAGTGCCACAGGAATTCCCAAATCACAATTTTACTCTAACGATTTACAATACATTTTCAGTTCATTAATATTAATATTAAATATTAATTTAAATTAAATTTATTTTATTTTATATAAATAATAAAGAACAAATAGTGTGGTAGTCGGATATTCCTTGCTGCGCTCTGAAAGACGAATTCGTTCCGGATGTAACTTTTAGCAAAACCATTTGGCATATTTACTTGTGAAAAGAGATCAATAAATTTGTGAATTTTCTCGCTGCATCCTGAAAGTTCACTGAATTCGTTTCGGATATAACTTTTAGTTAGAGCGAAACCATTCGGCGTATTTACTTGTGAAAAGAAGTAATAAATTTGTGAATTTTATCTTTTTGGAATTCCATCATCGAACGGTAATATTTTGCATATTTGCCGATTGTACAATGAGAATAACAAGTTTATTATTCATGTCCAATCTGGAAATCGAAGTTACAGTCTTGGAAAAGATCTTAAAATCGATACAAAAAACGAATTGATTGGCAATCACGTGATATTTTACCAATCTTTGATCAGCCTTTTGATAACGTAACATAAAAAAATAAAGTTTGTCCTGTGATTTTGCATTATATTACATACATTCAGGGATGGGGGTTATGAGATTTGTACAGTATTACTAATGTAAAATTTGCACAGATCCTGATAAATTCCTGCAAATTCCATGGGAATCCCATCACTACATACTGTACATTACACATTTTTTCTTGTGTATTATTTGAAATTCTTTGTTTTTTTTTTGTGCTTTTCACTTTAAGTGATTGGCATCAATTTCAACTGTTTATAATTTAAGTTTGACCTTATCTAATATATATATAAGAACCGTACTTACCGATTATTTTTTTTTAAAAAAAAATGATTACAACAATTATCTCAACTATCGGAATTTCCGATGCCCTTTCTCTCTTAATAATTATTTCAATTTTCTATGTAGCACGTTTTTATTATCATTATTTTACTCGTCCTAATCCTCTGCCAGGTCCATTCCCACTTCCAATCATTGGTAGCGCTTATCAACAAATTGGATATGGATTTAATGATTGGTTATTATCATTAAATAAAAAATATGGTGATATGTATGAAATAATTTTGGCAGGTCAACGTTTAATTGTGTTAGGTAAAGCAGATTTAATTGAGAATATGAATATACCATCTTCAACGAAGACTAATTATCCTAACAGATGGCCTAATACGGAAGGATTTGTAGAATACGGATTTGATGGAGTAGGAGTAGGATTTAATAATGTTCATAAATCTTGGAATTATAACCGTCAATTTTTTAGTCAAGCATTAATGACTCCAAGTTTTAATTATCAAGCTATTGAATGGACTAATGAATTATGGAATGAAATGGAATCTTACTGGAATAATCTTGGAGAAGATTATGAAATAGACCTTATAAAATGGATGCGTAGATTTACAAATGAAATGATTTTTAGAATTTCTACTGGAGTAAAAAATGACGCTCTTGCCTCTTATTATAATAAAATCACTCTTGAAAATAATAATATTAATCCTTCAAATGAATTTGTTGAATCACTTGAAACTTATATTGAAGGAATTATTTATTTCTTCGCCTTTAGCAAATTTATTCGCCATTATCTTCCATTTATTCGTGGAAAGGTTAAGAAATTATTGAAAAATAAAGATTATTTATTTAATAAATTATATACCATTGTTAAAGAAAGAAGGAATGAGATTGAAAAGACACCACTAGATCAACCACTTCGTCATGATATGTTGACGTCTTATATAACCGCAAATACACCACGTGATATTAACGTTATGAAACATGCAGACGCTGATTTATTAAGGCCAATGACCGATAAAGAGATTTTTGGAAATATACTCGACGCAATGATTGGAGGAACTGATACAGTAAGTAAAGATGTTTTAATACTATTTTATTCAAAATTTTGTGCTTCATAATAATTTTATTAAAAAAAATCGTAGACATCGAATTTGTTTTGTTTTATTGTATATTATCTTGAACATTATCCTGAAGTGAAACTACAATTGAGACAAGAATTTGATAGAATTCTTGGAAGTGACTTAACAAGACCAATAACATTTAAAGATCTTGATGAATTAGTATATTGCGATGCAGTTATTAAAGAAGTGTATCGTCACACTCCTATAGTATTTTTTCTTGGTCGTGTAAATGCTCAAAATGATAACGTTGGGGGATATAATTGGCCAGAAGGAACTCAATTTCAAATGCTTATTTCCGTATTAATGAAACATAAAGATTATTGGACTGAACCTGAAAAATTCGATCCTGATAGATTTTATAAAGTTGAAGAGAGTGATAAATATTTCCTTGAAAAGAAAAAAATGAAAAATACTTTTCAAATGTTTGGAGGAGGAATTAGAATTTGTCCTGGAAGAAAACTTGCAATGATAGAATTAAAATGTTTATTAATCTTAGTTTATAGAAAATATGATATTGAATTAGTTGATAAGAATTCACCACTAAAATATAAACGTGACTTTTTTAACCTTTGTAAAGAATTAGCAGTTAAAGTTAAACCAAGAAAATTTTAAAAAAATTGTATAAAAGAATATAAAGAATTATGTAAACATTTATGTATTACAACTATTTATAACTTATTATTAATAAATCAGGTTTATTAATATTTTCATAAAATAGGAGCGGAGCATCAGTAAATTATTATGCAGCTAAATAGGATCATCATGTTCCCTATAAAAAATATATTAAATTTAAATTTTGCTGCAATTATTCTTATTTAATACTAAAAATATGCTGAAAATGAAAATTAAAGATCTTCTTTAATCAATTTTCATAAAGTTTGATTTGATCAGATTACAATGGGGTGGCTATCACATGAATCTTGCCGATCATATTTCACCCAATATTTACCCCCTAAAGTGGCTTAGACAAATGGCTTAGGCTCGGCTCGGATAGTATCAGTATCAGTTATATAAAGTTAATTGTTGTACAAAAAGTTTGCTTAATAATATTACCTGTAAAAATAAAATCTTGCTGCAATAAAAGTAAAAGTTATGACCTTTAGCACGTGATTTCTATTGTCCCACAGTTATTTATTAATAATTTTCTTTGTAGTTCCCACCATGCTGATCTATATAAATTTATGATTATTTCCTTACTTAGAATAACTAGAGTCATACCCTAAAGCCGGTGACCGGCCCTTTCTAAGAGTATGATATATACCATAAATTTTAACACTTATTTGCAGAAACAAAAGTATTGATAAGATATAATTTAATTTTGTTTGAAATAAATAAATAATTTATTTTATTTTTTTTTTCATCTAAAATATTTTAATTTGTTTTTTACGCTTTGATTTAATAATCTTGTAATTGGCCTTAAAAGAAGAATTTATAAAAAACAATTTTTTTAAAAAAATTCTTTTCATTTCTAACTAAAATAAATAATTCAATAAAATTTATTTAACATGATTAAAAACTTAATATTGTAGGATATTTCAAATCAAATTTGGACGATTCTATGTCCACATATGTTTTTAATAAATCAATTCATGTAATATATATTTTAATAAGTAAATTCATACTAAATTCATATAATGTTTTTAATAATTAGTAAGTTTGTATTATGTTTTTTAATTATAATTTTTTACCTAATAAATATTTTTTTAATAAATAAATTCATAATGGTGTAGTTAGCCGAAAAATTCAGCCGAAGGCGCAGTAAATTTTCGGCTAACAACACCCAGCCGAAAAAAATTCATGTTGATCTTGAATATTTTTTGAATATTTTATTGGTTCAACATCTACTATTTTCGGCTAGATATTTACGGCTAACTACATTAT